GAATAAACATAAACAAAAAATATGCGATAAAGCACATAGAGAAAATATAATCCTTCAAAATTAAAATGTAAATACACATTTATATCTAAATAATTGATGTAATTGATTTAATGGCACAATAATTTATTTGTCAAACTTCTTTTTTGACCCTATAATTTATTTTAATACGCCAGTTATATATTTATACATTTATTTCCAATAATGATAGGTTTGGTCCTCCATACTATGGAGCCTATAATTTATTTTAATACGCCAGTTATATATTTATACATTTATTTCCAATAATGATAGGTTTGGTCCTCCATAGGAATCTGAGTGTTCTCTTTAATGATGTCTTTAGATTAAACAGATAACACAGTTGTAAAATCAAGCTTTTTCTCATTAAGGCTCATTGTCAGGGTTAAATCATACCTCCCCACTAAAGATCTTCAAAAAGTGATTTATTTTAGTATCTCTCCTTCAGATTATTGCAATTCTTTGTATTCTGGCTTGGATAAATCATCTCTGTGTTACTTACAGATTATTCATAATGCAGCAGCCCATCTTTTAACAGGTACTTGAAAACATGAACACATAATCCTGGTCCTGGCTTCTTTCCATGGTGGCTTCCTGGTCACCTGGAAATTGATTGTAAGATTTTACTGTTGGCTTTTAATGGTCTGGCCCCATCATATGTGATCTTCTTAACATCAATGACCAGCACTCCAGTCAGAGCACTCTGGTCTGCCAACTAGTTTCTTTTGGATGTTTCCTAGATCCAGAATGAAATCCAGAGGTGATTGGGTTTCTACAATTGCTGCCCCAAAATTATAGAACAGTTTACCTCTTCATATTTGGTCTGCCGAGACTATTGAGGCTTTTTTATGGGATAAATCTTGTGCCAGCAGGAATTGAATTTGAATTGAATTGAATCTGTGTGTATATAATTTGAAACTGAATGCATTGGTTTGAAAATTAATTTTACTAAATTGAAATTGAATTTAATGGTTTGAAAGTGAATTAAAAGTTTTGTATCTGAATGAATTAGCTTTGAAACTGTATTTTGGTTTATTAAAAATTCAGTTTGACTACTTTCACTTTCAGTTCCATAATTCAAATTCAATTCCAAAATTCAGATTTTTGTGTCACATTCTGGTCCTTGAGAAAGCCAGCCAGAGTAAGCAAACACAAATCAACAGATTTATGTTTCAGTTCGGTGAAGTGTCCCTTCTGTAATGTAGCAGAGTTGATACAATCTGCCGTAAAAGTGACAAAAACAGACATTATTTTTAATTGCAGTGATTAATTTTACCTATATGCAGAAATGTTACATTTACATCACATCATGGATCACATATTGATCAGATGCTGCTGCTGGCTGATCCATGATGTGATGTAAATAACATTTTCTATAGGTAAAATTGATCACTGCAATAAAATAACTGTCTGTCTTTGCTGAAGATCCCTCTTTTATTCTGCTTTTGATCGAGACAGTTAGAAATTGAAATAGAGCTGATGTTTTGGTTTTTTTAATGGTGTTTTTCCTGTATTTCATTTTTATTTTGTTTTAATGATAAAAGTAAAGCACTTTGGTCAGCTTTTGCTGTTTTTATTGTGCTATAAATTGACATTGACAATGACAAATCTTTTCGTTACTCTTCTAATAAAAGCTAATATTTAACTCACTTTATTCAGACACTTTTAAAAGTTACTCAGTATTCTATATTTTGGCCAAAAATTAATACTTTTTTAACTGATTTATTAATTTTTTTCCCCTTTTTGTAATAAAACATATATAATGCTCTAAGATAACTGTATATTATGAAATGCATTTAGAGAAATTAATGGAATTTAATGTTTGTTACAGATGGTTTCATGGCCACCTATCTGGCAGAGAGGCTGAGAAGCTGCTGACAGATAAGGGGAAGAATGGCAGCTTCCTGGTGAGAGAGAGCCAGAGCCACCCGGGGGACTTTGTTTTATCAGTTCGTACTGGAGATGACAAGACGGACAGCAGCGACAGCAAACCTAAAGTCACTCATGTCATGATCCACTGCCAGGTGAATCTCAGCTCTTTATATCTCACATCCCAGGGGTAGATACAGTACGGGGGTAGACATAAGGATTTTTTACATGTTGTCCAGCAGACAACCTGTTGATAAAATCTGGTTGTCCGCAAAACATTTTGGTTGTCCAAAAAAATCTCAAGAAAAATGTAATTTAATAAGTATATTGTTCTGTATACAAAGTTTACTATATACAAATGTTCTCAGTCAGCCAGGTTGACAGTTTCAGGAGCTGCTTGATTAGAATTTCCTCCTCCTCATCCTCTTTGAAATATAGAGCAAAAAAATCAACATCCATAAGCTTTCTGCTTACAGGTCAAACATTTTCATTTAATTAGGAGTACACTGTGTTCAAGACCTTATTAAAAGTTACTGTTTAGTGTTGTCAGGACTGAAGACATTCGATTAACTACAAGCACCTGAAGCTGACTCAGAGAACTCAATAATTTTAGAAAAAATCAAAGTCAGACATACACATGTCTTTGTTAGAAATAGTGGCATAAATATACAGTAGGCCTATTTTGTCTTAAATATTTTTTCAGCGTTCATAAAGCGCGTACTCTCGATATTCTCGATACTCTTTTAGGCAGTTTTTTTATTTGGTTTAGAATCACCAACGTCAATATCATGGCTGAGCTCTTGTGTCTGAGTGGGAATATAAGCAAATAATGACCTATAAGACTAAATCAGATTAATCAGCTTGCTGGGAAGAATCAAAGTGGGACAACAAAACCGGCAAATTTACTAACTACCAAATTAGCAAATTTTCCTTGAGCCACAGCTGCAGAAACACCATCACTCTCAGGTTCAGCACTGGACAGCTCCTCCAGTACTTCTGCAGCCTGCTCAGTGACAACACAAGTAGCAGCTTTATGCAAGGAGTTAAGTTCACTCAACATAAGACTTCAGCACATTAATGTGACACAAGTGGGACCTCCGCTTTCGATCGGGTGTAGCAATCAAATAGTCAATTCACTGACCTTTTCCTGAGTCAGGTGAAGCTCACTGTAACACATAAGCTTGACCCTTCTTCTAACAGCTTTAAAGGACCCCAAACCGGAGATGCTAATGACATGAAATTTTCACCAGATGTTGGTAACAACCCGAGTGATCCATATATACAAAGAAATCAAACCATAAATGTCCAGAAATGAAGTTATTTGTAATAATGTGGAATGGCAC